GTCCCACCACCCAGAGATTCTGATGCCGTTGGTCTGGGTACTGGCATCTTTGCAACCAAAAAATGTGAAGGTGGTTATAAAGTACTATGTGGGTTGAGAAAGTCCCCCTCTTCCTCCACATCCCCCGCCCCCACCCCATAGTCAGTTGCCAGTGCCTCCCATAGGCTAGGGCTCTTACCTATAAGCTGCATCTGGCTAAACATCTGCTTTTCAGTCTTTGCTATTTTCATGGTAGTGATGGGCAATGATTCCCATGTAAACCTGAAAAGTATGTGCAGTTTTGGAGTGCACATCAATGAGAAGGGAAACATAACATAAGCCACATTCTTGGGTTGGATGAAAACAATTTGTTTTTGGGAAAATACAAGTGACCTCAATAGAATGCTTATTACAATAGGTCGCCCTGCTGCGAACTCTTCTCAAACAAAATGGGCAGGAAGCCAAGATGCTGCACACAGATGGGAAGAAGAGGGGGCAGACAAGGAGAACCAGAAGGTAGAAGAGATGAGAGTCTACATGGAGAGACTTGTCAGAGAAGTTAGACTAATAGAAAAGTAATAGTAACTGTTACTGCAAAGGCAAACTAGCTTTTATGAAAGTGTCAGCCTATTTCAACATAATATGGATGAGTTTGGATGACGTAGGGGCATTGGAAGGGTTACCGTGGTGCTTATATCATTTGATGTGGGAGCTGGGTAATATCTAATGGAGGTAACACCCAGGGTCTGGCTGGCTAAGGAGTTGTTGGTGAGAGTTTTGTTTCGTTCTCCCTGGGAGGATAGTAGAGAATGCACTTCAAATCCATGAGTGTCAAACTGCTCATGTTTGTGGACCCACTATTTTACTGGGACTGTAAGGGTGTTAGTAACATTATCTCTTTTTAAAATTGTTTTATTTTTTAGATTTATTTATTTATTTATACAAGCACTGGGTACAGTCAGAAGCACAGGAGGGTGAGAGAATTCACCAGAGCCAGAGCGGGGAACAGAACAGGCAGACTGACGAAATACACTGCTGAGGAGAGCAGCAGGCACTGCAGGAGAGATCTGGGCTCCATGTGGGACCCTCGCTGGCAGTTGGTGATCAAACCGGCACTGCAGAGGCTGTGGGCAGCTTTGCAGCCCAGTGCTCAACTGCTGCACCACCAGGGAGGCCCACATTATCTCTTTAAATTGGGAACAACAGTGGCCTTAAGAGACATTGATTTAAATATTTTTTTAAAGTCTCTATGTTAGAATTCTTTGTTGTTCTATTGATAGTATGATCTTTTTTTTAATGTATTTTATTGGGTAACATTAGTTTACAACATTGTGTTTTAGAAGGATAGGATCTCCTCTTTCAAGTACTGTTCCCACACCTCATCTACCACCAAACCACCCAGAGACCACCATCATAGTCCTTTGTGCCCCGCCCCACCCCACTTAGCCTCAATTCTGTAGTCAGATTTCTAGAGTTTGTTGTTATTTTGGGTTTATCTGACTCTTTGTTGTGATTCTCTATATTCTACATACAATTGACACCATTCAGTATCTGTCTTTCCCCTTTTTACTTATTTCACTTAGTATAATCCCCTTCAGCTCAATCCATGTTGCCACAAATGATAAGAGTTCATAATATTTGATAGATGAATAGTATTCCAATGTATATATATACCACATCTTCTGGGTTCACTTCTCTGTATTTGGGCACTTAGGTTATTTCTGAAGTTTGGCTATTGTAGTGCTACAATGAATACAAGAGTGCATGTTTCCTTTCTAATTAATGTCTTTGTATTCTTTGGATAGATACCTAGAAAGGGAACAGCTGAGTCATCTAGTAGAACCAGTTTTAATCTTTTGAGAAAACTCCATACTCTTTTCCAGAGGGACTGGACCAGGATACCTTACCAGTAACAGTGTATGAGGGTTCTTTTTCTCCACAACCTCACCAGCACTTGTAGGTTTTGATCTTTTTGATGTTAGCCACCTCACAGGTCTGAGGTAGCATCTCATTGTGCCCTTGATTTGCATTTCCCTGATGATAACTGATGATGAGCTTTTTTTTTCATATGCCTGTTGGCCAGCTATGTGTCTTTTTTGGAGAAGTGACTGGCTTTTCTTCCCTCTTCTGATTGGGTTGTTTTCTTTTTGTTAAGTTGTATGAATTCTTTGCAGATCTTGGATAGCATCCCCTTATCATATATATGATGTGTGAATATTTTCTCCCATTCACTGGGGTTTCTTTCTCTTTTAGTGATGGTTTATTTTGCTGTGCAGAGTTTTATATTTTGATATAGTCCCAGTTGTTTATAGTCTCTTTGGTTTTCCTTGATGCTCAAGAAAAATCCACGAAGACATCTCTGCAATCTGTCATGGTGTGTTTTGTCTACATTTTCTTCCATGTATTTTATGGTTTCAGGTTTTTCATCCAAGTATTTTATCCATTTTAAACTGATGATTGTGTATAGTATGAGACAGTGGCCTAGTTTCATTCTTTTGCATGTGACTGTCAAGTTTTCCCTAAACTATTTAGTAAAGAATATTTCCTTGCTACAGTGTATATTCTTGGCACTTTTGTCATAGCTTAATTGTCCATATAGATGTGGGCTTATTTCTGGACTCTCAATTCTATTCCATTGTTTGTGTGTCTGTCTTTGTTCCAGTACCATACTGTTTGATTATTATATCTTTGTAGTATGTTTTAAAAGTTTGGACATGCATTTTCCCTCTTTTTTTGTAAGAGTGCTTTGGCTATTCAGGGTCTTTTGTGGTTCCATATGAATTTCAGTAGTGTTCTAGCTCTTTGAAGAATGCCATTAAAACTCAGCTAGGGATTGCATTGAATGTGTATATTGCTTTAGGTAGGATGGCTATTTTGACAATGTTTAATTCTTCTAATCTGTGAGCAGGGAATATCTTTCCAATTCTTTGTGTCTTATTCTATATTTTTTAACAATGCCTTATAGTTTTCATTGTATAGGCCTGCAACTCCTTTGTTAAGTTTATTTCTGGGCATTTATTTATTTTTTTGGTGTAATTGTAAGTGGAATTTTTAAAAATTTCATTTTCTGGCTTATTCTTTACATATAGGAAAGCAGCTGATTTTTGTGTATTAATTTTTTTAACCTGCCACTTTGCTACTGATTTATAGTTTCAATTAGTTCTTCAGTTGAGTCTTTTGGGTTTACTTTATATTATTATTATCATGTTGTTCACAAATAATGATATATTTCTTTTACAGAAGCACTTTTTTTTCTTAAAGATTTATTTATTTATTTATACAAGCACTGGGTACAGTCAGAAGCGCAGGAGGGTGAGAGAATTCACCAGAGCAAGAGCAGGGAACAGAACAGGCAGACTGACAAAATACACTGCTGAGGGGAGCAGCGGGTGGCAGGAGAGGTCTGTGCGCCATGGCCGGGGATCAAACCGGCGCTGCAGCCCAGGGCTCAACTGCTGCGCCACCAGGGGAGGCCCAATAATGATATGTTTCTTCCTGTCCTAGTTGTATTTTTTTGGTATCTTTCTCTTCCTAATTGCTCTCACCAGGGGTTCCAATATTAAGTTGAATAATAATGGTGAAAGTGAATGCCCTTGACTTCAACCATATCTCAGTGGAAAAGTTTTCAATTTTCACCATTGAGAATAATGTTAGCTGTGGCTTTGTCACATGTAGGTTTTTATTATGTTGACATATGTTCTATTTATTCCCAGTTTTTTGAGAGTTTTTCTTACAAATTATGTTGAATCTTGTCAAAGGGTTTCTTGACACCTATTGATATGATCTTTTTAAAAAATCTTTCCTTTTACTGACATGATGAATTCATTGATTTTCAAATGTTGACCATCCTTGTGTCCCTGGGGTAAATTTCACTTGGTCATAGTATATAATCCTTTGGATGCATTGTTGGGTTGGGTTTACTAAGATATTTCAATGATTTTTTTGCATTTATGTTCATTAGGAAAATTGACTTGCTTAACTAATAGGAGATTTCCATTCCTATTCAGGCAGGAAGATATTCTCTGTTTTGAGTAGATGACTTGGATAATTGGGTTGTTTTTCCTTCTAACGTAACCTAAAATCTCAGGATGCTCCTCTGGCTGATAGGATATTATCAACCATTTAAAATTATATTAATGTTGGTGAGAAGGGAAAAAAACATATATGCTCATGTACTATTTTGAGGCACATGAAATAAAGTTTGGAAAGGCAATTTGATAGTACTTATCAAAATAGAAAATGCACATACCTTTCATCTACAAGTTATACTCTATCCTAAAATACCCTTATGGCACCGTGTGTGTGTGTGTGTGTGTGTGTGTGTGTGTGTGTGTGTAAGTTATTTAAAAATATTCAATGTATTCAAAATAGAGGGAAAGAAAAATAACTAAAGGAAGGTGCATTTGTTAAAAAAAGATTGAGTAGCTCTCTCTATATATACATACTATTGTTGAAAAAAAGTCCAGCATATATTGAGCGAAAAAAGTAAAGCCTTGTATTATATGAAACCATTTCATTGTTTTCAAAGTACGTGTATGTACAGAGTAGGGTCATACCTTGAGGAGGGGCTAGGCTCAAAACTCCTTTCTTACCAAGAAATGAAATAATTTAGTTGTTGAAATTATCATTTAAAATCCCTCTTACCTCCCTTCAAGTAGTCCATATACAATTTTGTCTTTGTATGTTTGTATGTATAAGTCCTAAACATGTAAGGATGGATATTGTTAAGTACTCGTGTATATACTACGTGGTGCTTTCCTGTTCGTTCCTGCCTGAGAGACTGTGTTTGAATTCAGGATGGTTTAGTGTGGTACAGCTGCTCTCCACTGCATGACCCTTACTGCCCAGGAGAGCTTCTGGGGCCTCCATGCTGGGCTCTTCATACTGTTTACTTCAGTATGGGGTTGGGGGAGGCGTGGAGGGGAGTTTCCTCTTACACTTGAGACATCCATACAAATGTCAACGAAAAATGCCCTTCCCTGCTCTGACTTTGTCTTCACTTCCTCTCTCCCAATTGGGACAGGACCTTCTCCTGGCAGCGGCCTATGTTTCTGATGCCCAATACAACAGAAATGTTCCATTTGAAACATCTCCTCAGGCCATCAGGTAATGAGAGTGTGGACTGTAATGTAGAACCACCTGTTCTTTAGCACTTCCTATTCTTTTTTCTTTTAAAGATTTATTTATTTATGCATACAAGAGCTGGGGTACAGGCCAGAGGTGTGGGGGTGAGAGGATTCACCAGAGAAAGAGTGGGGAACAGAACAGGTGGATCGACTGAAATACACTGCCGAAGGGAGCAGCGGGCGAAACAGGAGAGGTCTGCTGCACCATGTGGATTGCTCCCTGGCTGGCTGAGATTGAACTCATGCTGCAGAGGCTATGGATTGCTTCCTAGGTTGTAGTCCTAGGTTGCTTCTTAATCCTTGCGCCACGAGGGAGGCCCAGCACTTCCTATCTTGAAGTTGAACTCAAACCGAAGACATTGTTTCTACAAATTCTTTGAGAGCCATCTAGGGGATGTTTCAGAGATTTGGATAAAATCCAATGCTTTTTTGGTTAAGTTATAAGAACATGGTGCTTCACACTCAGGGAAGCGTTCAATAAATACCTTAAAGACAGATACTGAGTAAATAAACACCATCTGGGACAGGAGATCGGCATCCAAGCTAAAAACATGTCACTGCCTTTTCTTCTTAGTCCTCTTAGAGCTGCTGAAGTGAAAAGAACACTTGTTCCTTCTCTTTCTGTTGCCTTGTTGACACAATCTGTACATTTGTTCTCTTCATGAGAATTCAGCTTTTTCTCTCTCACCCCCTAAGGGTGGAACTGAGACCAAGGATTTGGCTCAGAATAAGGAAAAAACATTTGTTATAATCAGGAAGGAGCCTTAGTTCCTCCAAAAGCTGTACATGCCTTATCCCTGGATCCTGCTGAGCAGTTTGGGGGCACTGGCCTCTCCTCCCCGCACCAGGAACAGAACTGCGTGGTTCCAAGTTCTCGCCAAGTCTCCCGTGTTGAGATGGGATGATGCACATTTGAAAATCGGTTAGGCTACCATCCCACACATTAGCAGGGCATCTTAACTGGGGCTTCACTCTGTGTGGGTCACTGTTTCGGTGCTCTAAAGCATTCTCTTATTCTCACACCCACCCAGTGAGGAAGGTGCTAGTTCTACATTGAGACTGTTAAAAACTGTTAAGAGAATGTATTTTGAGATATGATCATAGCCTTGGGGGTTTTTTCTGAGTGTTTTGTAGCATGGCTTGATTCGATCCTGCCCCTTGCTCCCTAGAATGTAAGGAAGTGTGGCCAGAACTGTAACTGTATTTTACCTGCCATTGCTCTTCTAACTGGAAATCTGAGTGCTGGTTCACTCCTGTTCTTTGTTTATAATTCCTTCATGTTTTTCCTCTTCAGACTTTACTATTTTTATAACCACTGGACAATGCGAGCCACCACATACTTCTTCATCTGTGTCAACCTTTCCCTCGCTCTGTTTGAGGAGCCTGCATTGTTTCCACTGCCTTTCTTGGTAAGCGTTAAAACTGGAAAGGCTCACTGGACTTTGTCATGGATGATTTGGTACCCAGGCCTCTTCTTCCCTTGTCAAATTTCAATAAATGTGAATTTGATTTGATTTGATTTTTATTACTGAGGGTTGGAAGACTTGTGCCTACTGACTTCAAGTGGAAGCTTTGGTCTTTGCACAGAACAAATAGGATATACAAACAAGGCTTTGAAACAAGACACATTTATTTAATGGCAAAAGACAATGTGGTAATATACTGTTAGACTTGCCACATTTTCAGCTTTTTCATAGTCAAAGTTGCTTAGAGTATTTTTGTTGGTGCTTAGTAGCTGATCACAAGTCTTTTTTTTTAATATTTTTATTTATTTATACAAGAGCTGGGGTACAGGCCAGAGGCGTGAGAGGGTGAGAGGATTCACCAGAGACAGAACGGGGAGCAGAACAGGCAGACGGACTGAAAACACTGCTGAGGGGAGCAGCGGACGAGGCTGCTGGGTTTCTCCCTGGCCAGCCGGGAATTGAACCTGCGCTGCAGAGGCTGCGGACAGCTTCACAGCACCGTGCTCAACCCGCTGCGCCACCAGGGAGGCCCCACAAGTCATTCTGAGTAATGTATAAACTAACCAGCTACTGCAGATGGGTCTGAATAATAAAGCGACGAACTACTCATGTTTATTACTGACTAAACACTGCTTTTACTTCTGAGAGTAGATGAGGCAGGGAAAGAATGACTTGCAAAGCCTCCAGTATTTATTTATTTATTTATTTATTTTTAAAAATATTTATTTATTTTTATACAAGAGCTGGGGTAGAGGCCAGAGGCGTGGGAGGGTGAGACGATTCACCAGAGACAGAGTGGGGAACAGAACAGGCAGACTGACAAAGTACACTGCTGAGGGGACTAGCAGGCGCAACAGGAGAGGTCTGCTGTGCCATGTGGGATTCTCGCTGGCCAGCCGGGATAGAACCCACGCTGCCGAGGCTGCGGACAGCTTCACAGCACGGCGCTCAACCCACTGCCCCACTGGGGAGGCCCACTTCCAGTATTTACTATCTGGTCCTTTAACATATAGTCTGTCAACACATAGCTTTAAAGAACAGGTTTTTATTACCTTCTGTGTGGCATAGACTTATCCCAATGGGGGTGGGGAAGTTAAGAAGGGGCATCTCATGTGCAGGTTTCATCAACCTAGGCTTGCCTGGCACTTGCTGATGTCCTGATGGCCAGAGCCCATCAAATGCCAGATTCCTGACACTGCACAAGGGAGTGAAAGCCGCAACTATGGTTCATAGGGGTCCACCAAAGTGGCCTACTGGCCACCGTACTGCCATGTGATCAGGCTTTGACAATTCATGAAGTCTCTGGACAGAATACTTTTAGCCCAGGAACTGTCAAGACCAAACAAAGTGTGAGGAAGCAGAGCTGTGCATTCCTAGTCTGGACAGTGTCAGTCCCTCCTAGTGCTAGTGCACCCTGGCCGAGGTGAGAATTCTGCAGTTGTCTTCTCAACACTTTGCCTCTCTCCCCAAGTTCTCACCCCTCTGTTATTGGTCATTGGAGGCCTTGGGTTGGTTACCTGAGTTTCAGAGTGTTCTTTTGCCAGTATTTGTACTTCAAATTTCTAAAATAAAATGTGCTAAGAGAGGAGGGGTGTGGGTGTGCTTCAGCCAAGATCTATGCAAATCTTAGTTTGAACAAGAGTATCTTGAAATTGCCTTAGACAATTTTGTACACCTGGCCTTAGCAGAGTCTCTAAAGACTTTCAAGGATGCCTGCCCAGGATCATAAGTCTAGGAGATAGAGAGAGTCAACTGTTGATTTCAGGGTCCAGCGCAAGCCCCTTTCTTCATGTCCCTTAAGGAGTCCATTCCCTCCAGCCTTCCTCCACATCTTACCACTTTTCTAGCCTAAGCCAAGTTGCTCCTTCGCCCCTATCTTCTTACTTTGCCACCCTCCTCCCATTGATGGAGCTGAGTGCCCTTGTTAGGGAGGAATTACTGCCTCATGGTAACTGCAGGCAAAGCATTTGCTGCAGTCACAGCCTTGAAACCTATCTGCCTGCAGGGAGTTTGGAGTTGATGCCTGTGACCTCGAGAGGGAGACACTCATCACTTGGGTCCCCATGGCCTCCATTCTCTCCGCTAACCAGCAAAATTTAAGCAGCAAGGCAGTGATGTCTAGGGAGTGACCCATCACTTCAAAATACATCTTTGTGGAGTTATTCTACCACTAGAGAAACTGAACTTCTAGATATTTATTCTGAACACAAACATGGGGCACTTAAACATAGAAATGCCTGCTTCTGCTGTCCTTGACCTCCCCTTTCCTGGGAAAGTGCATTCTGGGTCCTCTGTCTGCTGACTCAGCCCTTCCCAGGAACCTCTGCCAGTTTGGCTCATGGAATTTGTGGCTTAGGGGCAGGTTTCCTTTTTAGAGGAAGAAACCATTCCAACCAGCAAAGAATTTTGCTGCAACTTGCAGTAAAATTAAGGGACACTGCTAATTCTCAATTGTGGTATTCAGGGAGTTACAAGAGATTTAAAGCTGGCCCTCCAATTAAAACTGGCCCTCCTAAGAAGGGCACTCTGCTTATCTCTGTGTTCTGCCTGCAGGCTACCGCGCTAGTGGAAGTGCTCTGTCTGACTGCATTCTTTGGAAGACTCGTGCATTTTGCAAAAGTCACTCCTCAGATGGTTTTCTGGAAGGATACAAAAAACATCTGCATCATGGTAACCATAGTGGTGAGTGTTCATTATAGTGCCATTGAGAGTCTGTGGTCAAGCAAACACTGAAGAAAGAGGACCCAGTAGATTTACATGGTTCCAGCAAAACTGACAGATTTGGGTACAAATACCATCAGCACAGCTGCAAGCAAACCACAGCTGCAAGCAAACTGAAGAACAAGCAAAATGCAGCAGTGTGAATATCTTAAAATATCAAGAGCACTTCCAAATTAAAGACAGAAGCTCCATAGGAAAATGTGCTGGAGATAGGTGATGGTAACTAAAAAAAAAGGAAAAAAAAGGTGGACATGAAAAAGCTTCACCGCTTATTAAGTAACAGTAATTAAAACAACAATGAAATAGCATGTGTTTACCTATAAAACACTGTTAGTGAGATCAAGAGGAAACAGAACACCTTCTGCCCCACAGACACATGTGTCTTCTGGAAGGCAGTTTGGCAGTTAGAAATCATCCATACGTACACGTTAGCATCCTAGACTTCGCCCCTGGGAATTTATCGTTAGGAAAGAACAATGTGTTCAAAGATTTTAGCACAGACTGGACATGGCTGAGCTGGTCATAATGTTGAAAAAATACACATACAGTAGATACGTATTAAATAAAAGGTAGCCCATCCAGGTAGCCCTTGAAAATAGCGTTAAAAACACATCTGTGACTATTATCAGGGAGATAATCTGTGAGGCAAAGGAACAGCTTGCAGGAGAGTTGGGTCACATCTTTTTTATTTATTTTTTATTTATTTATTTTTTTATGGTGTATATTGTTTTATTAAAATCAAATTTCATTATGTTCTTTCTACTCTTTTCTCTTGGCTTTATTTATTTATTTATTTATTTTTATATTCCCCATACAATTGCAACCCCCTTATTTTGACCCCAATCCCTCCCCTCCCGCCCCCTACCCCCCATAGAGTGTCTCTGGTTCATAGTTTTTGTTGATTTTGATTTTCACTTTCTTATAGTTATTCATTTTCCTGGTCCCTTATTTAAGTTTTCTAGATTCCTGCTATGAGTGAGACCACCCAGTATTTTTCTTTTTCTTTCTGGCTTATTTTGCTGAGCATGATCCCTTCCAGCGCCATCCATGTTGCTGCAAATTGCATGTGCTTATCTTTTTTGAATGCTGAGTAATAGTCCATGGTGTATATGTACCACATCTTCCAGTCATCTATTTTTGGGCATTTGGGTTGTTTCCAAAGCTTAGCTATTGTAAACAGTGCTGCTATAAACATAGGGGTGCAGGTGCTCTTTGGAATTGATGTTTCTGTGTCCTTTGGGTAAATACCTAGGAGTGGAATTGCTGGATCATATGGAAGCTCTATGTTTAGTAGGTCCAGAAATCTCCACACAGCTCTCCATAGTGGTTGGACCAGTTTGCACTCCCACCAACAGTGCAGGAGAGTTCCTTTTTCTCCACACCCTCGCCAACATTTGTTGTTGCTAGTTTTTTTAATATGTGCCATTCTCACTGGTGTAAGATGGTATCTCATGGTAGTTTTGATTTGCATTTCCCTGATTACAAGTGATGGGTCACATCTTTTTTAAAAAGAAAAAAGGGGAGAACATTACACACCCAAAGAAAAACCTGGAAGCATATATACTAAGCAGTTATGCCAAGCAAGGCAGGGTGATGTATTCTGAAACTGCTGTATTGGACAATAGCTAAGGGTGTTTCAAGATGAGCATATCAGCAAGCAGTCAAAATGCTCGAACCAGGGTTCCTTCTAAATCACCAAGGCCCAGTCTCCACACCTCTGTACTTGCTGCTTGATATTCTTTTCCTTCGAGCCATCATTGTCAATTTCCACCATTTGGTAAAGAGGGGGTCCCCAGGCTGAAGCTGACATCTCTGTCCCATGTCTCTCACAGCTGACCTTGATTGATCTCATTATCTACGGGTCCCTGGAAGCTGTCAACATCCACAGCATTCGGTGGTCAAGGGTCTTAAGACCAGTCTTCCTAATCAACTTCCCTGAAAGTCGACAGGTAAGGAGATGATTAGGATACATGAGGGCTTGCTTCTGACTTTTGCAGAAAATCCAAGCTGATTTCTTGTAAATGAAATTCAATTTTGTCTTCACAGATCCGAAGGGCTTTCCGAAGCATCCGGAATACTCTGCCTGACATCCTCTATGTCTTCCTCTTGTTTATTTTCAGTGTGCTGATATTCTCCCTTATGGCCTTAAAGCTCTTTGGGGACAGGTGAGTGTGCTGTTCTGGAAGTTTCTATATGTGAATTCTTTCATGTTGGTGGCACAATCTCTCACCAGATGCTGTCTTCCTTGTTCAGGAATGTTCTTGAAAGGGGAAATTGTCTTGGCAACTGCAGCCTCATTTTTGTGTGTGGGGTTTTCACTGTTTTTTTGGTTCTTCCTTAGGGGCCTTAAAACAGTTGATGGATCATCCTACTTCACCAACATCCTAGAGATAGCCTTTGAGCTCTACGTTCTGGTCACCGCTGCAAACAGCCCTGATGTCATGTATGTGGGTCCCCAATTCATATTCGTGGACGTGGTTCCATAACAGAACTCACCTTGTTAAAAACAGCTGCCTCCTAACACTAGCAAGGCTGAGAGGGAATGTAGTGATGTATTCTACTTATTTATGTCCATTGCAAAAATTTTGAAGACTATACATGCACTAATAACAGCCAAACCTCTCTGTTTAAAACTAAGTTTAGGTGAATTTTTAAAACACTGAAAGTTATAGTGCACATCTTTTTTTTTTTTTTAAGATTTATTTTTATTTATTTATACAAGCACTGGGTATAGTCAGAAGCGCAGGAGGGTGAGAGAATTCACCAGAGCCAGAGCAGGGAGCAGAGCAGACAGAAGGACCGAAGTACACTGCTGAGGGGAGCAGCCAGGGATCGAACCGGCGCTGCAGAGGCTGCGGGCAGCTTCGCAACCCAGTGCTCAACCGCTGCGCCACCGGGGAGGCCCTACAGTGTACATCTTTTGAGATAAACTTTAAAATACTAGAGCCTACTTTCTATTTTGGATTTTCCTTGAGTTTTATTCAAAACCTAAGCCATCTTAGTACAGGAATCCTGGCTTGTTCTCAGCACTGATGTGGTTTTCTGGCTAAATAAAACCAGCAAGAAATGTAAAGATTACTGTTGACACCGCCCCTCCCGCCCCAACACATACAATGTTCTCCATACATGCGGACATTACTTAGGAGGAAATTGTCATAGGTCTTTTCCTAATGGCTATTTCTCTTGGTGTTATGGTTTTATCTTGTTCATGGAGGTAAAGTTACCAACCAGTGCTACACTGAGTAGAGAGCTCTTTGGGTCTAGAGCATGCACAGAACACTAACAAATGTCTCGCAAATGTCAAACCCATCTAATCCGTGCTGCGGTTTGGGGAAGGGGCTGTTTTCCTGTCATCTAGTTCCCTGTGGGATCATCACATCAACCTGCTCTTAGCTGTTGCTCCCTCTGGGAAGGAAGGTGAGCTTCCTGGCCCCCTTTCCACGCCAGCAGCTCCAGTATCCCCTCCTGGATGAAAACCAATTTCTGTTCAAGGTGGCTTGAGCATACATCCCAAGTTAAGCCTTTGTCCTGGTGGGATTATTAACAGTGCCCCTTTCATTTTCATTGTCTAAATGTGGTTAGAAAATTCTCTGGCCCCCAGCAAGGCAATTTGGTGTCCCTTTCAATTTGCTCTCCTTTCTAGGCCTTCATTTTCTTTCTCATTATGAAGGGGGAGAAGGGATAGCCATCCCCAAGGTCCTACCTACCTACTTTGAAGGTTGGCAGTTCTATAAAGAACTAGGAATTTCAGAAGGCTTGGAGCAGGCTGTTTAGCATTAGAGACGGTGATCACTTTGAGATCCCTTCACATGGAGAGTGAATGAGGGGTTTTCCTGTGTCTCTGGCACGTGGCTGGTCTGTGTGGGCTGTCACCTCAGGTCAGCTTTTCATGCAAACCTAGGATATGAAAAACCATAAAACTATTTCTCCCCCCTCCTCCAGGATGCCTGCCTATGACTTCAGCTGGTGGTATTCTCTGTACTTTATTGCATACATCATCATCAATACCTACATCTTTATGTCCGTCTTTCTGGCTGTGGTCTACAACAATTACAGGAAGCATTTAAAGGTAACATGCATAAGTTGGGGATCAGGGGTGGGGGCAGGTGCCATGACAGGTGCAGTGGCAGGGAGGTTCATCAATGCATTTGCTAAATATTTGCAAGGGTCCTTTTTCTTTTCACTTGGGCAAGTCTGAAGATTAAGTTGGTATCTTGCTCGCTTCTGCTAAACAGGTTGTTTCTTTACCAGTGGTGGGTAAGATAGCATATAAATATGGTGGGTGATGGCAGGTGCGTGCTTCTAACTCATCAAATTTCTCCTGGCTCCTTGTTTTGTGTCTGATTGGGTACTGAGGATACTTTCCAAGCTCTCACGAAACAGAAACAGAAACTTCTTAAAGCCAACACTTTAAGCCCTGGTTTCTACCTGTTTGATTTATGTTTGGAGAATTTCTGGAGGTGTTGGATGGGTAGAGGCTTTTGAATACTTGGGCAGGTGATGTTTTATTTACAACTTGGAATCCACAGAGATATCTCAGCCAGCTCACCCCAGCCCTCCACTGCTCCCCACCTACACTGTTTTTACATTGTAAATTTAGTTGGACAGAGAGGTTGATTTTCCTTAAGGAAAGACATAGCTTGTGGCTTTTGATTCTGTTTTGAATTTTTCATTCCTAGGAACTTTCCCACCAGGGGACAAATCAAATTTGGACAACTCAATCTTAACGGCTAAGGGGACGAGGGGCTGGGTGTTATGATTTGGTTAAACTGGCTTTTGAAGGTGTCTGACCTGTCCTGTGCACTGTGGGAACCTCAGCTGATCCTGACCCCAATGCAGGGCCTCCCAGGGAGCTTACTACTTCTGACTGTCCTCCCGTCAGGACTGGACAGGACTATTGCTGTGCCTCTCCCACCCTCAAGAAAGTGTTTTCTTTGGCTATCTTTTGCCACTTGCATCAGCCAGCAAGCATATCTTAAATGTGTTTTATGTGCCCTGATTATACAAACTTCTGCAGTCAGAAATGATTAATATGATTAATGATTAAGACACAGCCTAGACCCTTAAGGATTTACTGTCTAGCTGTGTAATCAATCAAGTGATGATGATATTGGGTAACGTGCCTACAGAAGTGGAGCCTAGGGGTGCCAGTAGGTGACCAACTGTAACCTGAGGATGGCTGTTCAACCTGCCCCTTTTGGAAGATTCCCTGTGACTGGGCAGATGGCCACTCCAGGCAGGCTCCAGCTGTCCATCCTGCCCTGGCCCTGCTCTTTCTCCTCCACTTCTCTTTCTTTCTCCCAGTCCACCGCTCCCTTTTCCTTCTTAACTTACTGGCATATCTGTCTTCTTTTCCTGCGTCTCCCTCTCTCTCAGCAGCAAAGCCGATTTCCTTCCTTTCTGGAATCTCCCTTCCTCCTGAGCAGAGTGGAGTTTGGACCTGCTGCCTCCTGCTGCTCTATTTTTCACCACATTGATTATGCTTCCTGGTCTCCTACGTTCAAACTCGGTAAGAAGATGTGTTTCTGCAGACATGTATCTGGAACTGAGCAGGGATTCTATACCTTGCTGATTAGCAAACTCATCAGTGATTTCTTTTTGGTTTGTCAATGACCTTGAAATGTTTAGAGTAAAGAAATGAGGCTTTCTGGAATCTTTCTCTTTAAAAACACAATTCTGTTTTTTAAAGAATGAGATCCGCAAACTGGCATACCTGAAACGTCACAAGATGATAAAGGCTTTCAACATTCTGAAAGTCAAGGTGGGCACCGAGTTCGTGGTTAAGGAGGCCCAGTGGAAGCAGCTGGTCAAGGTCGTGACGCCAGATGTCAGCAGTTCCCACTTGGAGCTCCTTCTGAGGATCTGTGATGAGGGACAGAAGGGGCACGTGGGTAAGACGCCTTGGCCTCTGGCCTTCCTTTTCCCTGTGCTCTCACAATCGGGGTTAACAGGGGTAAGGAGGGGCTTCTAAAGGAATGGGTCAAACAGCAGCACAGTGGATGCTCAAATAAGCTTGTTTTATTTAATGTCAGCTCACTGTAACCGTGAGGGGATTAAAAATGGACTTCAGCCATGGCCACTGTATGTGTACAGACTGTACAGACTGCACGTTCCCCCATGTCTGTGCAGATCTCCCCTGGGTGCTCTGTTTCCCTTCCATATCCCAAAGGTGCCCTTGAAGTTCCCTGGTGTGTCTCAGTCATCCCAGTCTGAGTCAGTGTGGGTGTGTGTGATGCTTTCTGTGATAAAAGGCGTCCTGTCCAGGGTTGGGTCCTGCCAGCCCCCTGAGCTGCTGGGATGGGCTCCAGCCATCGCAACCATGGACTGGAACAAACAAATGACTATTGGATTTTAGAGGGTCTGACAGGAAAGTAAGATTATAATTGTAAATTCAAATGAGATGAGGACTCTCAAATTAGTCTTGTGAACCCATAGGTTTTATTAAGACTCCATGCTTGTGTGACAGAAGGAAATGGTGATGATTTTCTGAAACTTGTTGGGGAAGTCAATCCCACAAAGAGAAATGTATGGCAAGACAGCATTAAATGGGTGATGCCAGCATCCTTAGATGCCGGATCCAGGATGGAGGCCTTTGCGCAAATCTGTAGGATGACAGGCCCTAACATGAGCCCTGGGCGTGTCTCCTCAGCAGCCAGCCTGGTGTGCGGTCCCTCTGTCTGCTTAGGTCAGGCTTCTCAGACCTTGAGCAGATTGCCTTGGTCCCTCCATTGGCACTCACAGCTGTGCCACCTGGTGCCAGGCCTGGGGTTCCACTACAGATGTGGGATTGGAGATGTGCTTCACTGGGCAACTGCTGAGCACGGGGTCTCTCAACCTGCCTGTGGTGTGAAGCTTTTTCATTTTTGGCCTGATCAATACTTTGGCATGAGAACAAAAATGAACAAGCAAAACAACAAAATGAAAAAGGCATATAAAATCCAAGTCCTAATTTTTCAATACCAGATTCAATTGTAAGTGAAAATGATTCTGTCCATTGCTCTCAGAGTTTCCAAATTTTAAGAACTTACCTCGGGAAGAGCAGAGGGCCCAGAACAGGGCCCACAGCTGCCCAGGGACCACCCTGTGAGGGGCCCTGCCTGAGGAGAAGGGTCCCATTCTGTCTTCCACTCCAAAGAACCAGGCCCAAGCTTCATCCCCTCTGTTTTTGAGAATTCTCCTTTGATGATTTATCACCTTTGCTACTTCTTGATGGTTAGGACTCTGAAGGGGTGGATGAATCTTTAGGTCTTTACGAACTTTCTTTGTGATTCCTTCTGTCAAGTGAATTCCTGGGATGCTCTAAAAAGGTGAGATACTCCAAACCCAGAACGGGGGCTTTTAGGAGACATTGTCAGAGATAGTGAGGTTGGTGAGATACTTGACTAACTGCTACTCATCTGGAAAAGAGATACATGAAGCAACATTTCTTAGTTTATAGTCAGTCTGTTGACAGTTGTTTCCCAAAGCTGGTGATGAAGCGCTTTTCTTGCTCGACAGTTTCTCCCAGGTTCTGGGCTGATGAATAAGGTGGTTCTTAGAATACTGTTTAGCTGTGCAGGATGAATGTAGAGCACACCAAACACACAAGTTTTCCTGGCATGGTTCGCTCAGGTGTTCTGTCCCATGAATGATGTGAGCCAGGAGGAGGTGTTCTTTGGTGCTACAGCATAGCTTTCTGGAAAATGCCCATGTAGATCTTTGTGCAAAAAACACCTGCCTATCTACAGAAGCCAAGAAAAGAAAGCAGTGGTGTTCCTTGTGAGGAAGAAGGCAGAACAGAAGTCAGGGAGTGAGGTAGTGGCAACTACCTCACAAAATCATGTTTGGGCTGGTGAGGGTCTTCATGAGGACAGCTGAGAAATGGCCACTCACTGGCTCCTTGGCCTTGAGTCTTCACCCTTTGAGACTTCAGATCTTCACCTGTGAAATGCAAACCCAAGAATCGATGCCGACTTGGCTTTACCCTTTGGCTTTAGTATCATATTGGCCACGTATCTTGAGGTTCCTTTTTCATTGCAGACAAAATGAACTTTCTACGTTTGGCTGACCTCCTCAACATCCAGGTGGTCACCATCAACATCAAGACACACCCCCTGGAAACCTGGATGCCACGGGTGTACCAGTCATCTGTAAGCCTCCTGGTCCAGAAGATGGTTCGGCACAGGCAAGTGAGAAGGGGCAGTTTTCTCTTAAGTAGCATTAAAAATAGAGGGATCTGGTCTACACTGAATGTGTGTCATCAGTGAAGCCATCAATCAGTCCTCTGCTCACTGCTTTTGTTTCCCAAGGAGGCCTGGAAAGAGTTCTGAATACACTATGTCTGACCCTTAAAAAGGACAGGCTTCTAGATTATGCTTCCTTCTGCTGTGCTTCCTAGAGCTATTCAAGGGCCCCAGACTAGATGTGCTTTCTGGGGTGGGGGATACAGTCATCACATGCTGGGAAGCAAGTTGCACTGGTAGGATTTTGGACATGTTCTTTTCCTGGAAACACATGCTAGCGGGTCTCTTCTTTTTCCCCTCTTGCAGATTTTTTGTCTGGGTTTATGATGTCATCATTCTTATAAATGCCATCTTCATCGCTCTGGATGAGAAAAACCCCTTCATTTCCTATGCAGAATGGCTCTTCCTTTTTCTCTATATTATAGAGATTCTCCTGAAACTGTATACGTATGAACCCAGAACTTACTTTGGAAGGAATCAGTTCTGGAACTGGTGAGCATGTGTGTTTTGGCCTGTGTGGCTGGGTGACGAGGACTGTTAGCAAGCCCTTTACACTGCTGGCTGTGTCTCCCTGTGGCATTGCCTTGCCCACTACCGACCATGCAGCCTCACCGGCATGCTGCGAACCAGCTGTCCATCTCCAAAACCACGTGTTGGGGCCGCAGGACACCAGGCACAAGGCAGGCCTGGCCTACACGGTGCACAGCTAGGCAGGTTGGAGCTCTGTGAGTGCTGCTCTCACTGCCAGGAAACTTGCTAGGATGTACATGTGCACGTGGTCAAGGGGAGCTGGTCAGTGTTGTCCAGTGCTTTGGTACCATGTCTGAAAAGTAACCCTGTGATGAAGTTCCTCTTTAAGTAAAACGTGGTGATGCATTTCATAAAATTGATACCAAGAAAGATTATGTTGAAAATGTAGCAAATTTCTCTCATGCATGTAGTTAATTTGCAAGACAATTAAACTGATAGGAATTAGTTAATTCTTACATCTCCCTATGTGCCTATATTCCCTTGACTGGGTCACTGAAGCAGGGCTTGTTTCATATCTGATCACCTAATAATTATGAACTACAGATTTGTGGGTGGATCATTGCTTTACAGAAGATATTGGATTCGAGGTCTTCTCGGAATCCACTGTAGCCTGAGCTCGATAGGCTTCTCTTTGACCCTGCACGACTTTGCTTCTGCATCATTAGGTTTGACATGCTGATCATCACCATAGCGCTGCTGGTCACTGTGGCCACTGCCACCATCCAGTCAGGTCAGTGTCCCCGGCCCTCGACTTCACCACCCCCTGGGACTGTGTGTCCAGTCTTTGTTGAGCCCCCGTGTCCCACTAGGTGTTTGGGGAGAGGCTGTGGGGACAAAAAAGAATTAGTAAAAAGTTCCATCTCCTGGAGAGGGATGGTAGCTTTGTCTGTGTTCAGTTGTCTGTTGGAGATTCCCTTTGCAGACATCCATCACACCAAATACAGCAGGCCCTTGCTAACAATGTTTCATTCAGTGGCCTTTTGTTATATAACTTTGATGACAAAAAACAGGGTCTTGGCTGAAGTCAAGTGCAACAATTTATTTGAGCGCTTGCTGTTCTTATACTTTTGCTTAAAGTCACCGTTTCTGAAAACCTCTTGACAAGTTAAGTGAGGATTTATTGCACTCACCTGGTCAGCCTGCAAAGCCGGCCCTGGTGTCACAGCTGACCTCCACACCTCTGACCTCTGCCCATCTTGGCCCCCACCTAGGGTCTAACCAGAGCAGAACTCTGCATTGTCCCTGCCATCTCCCTCTTCCCTCCACTGTCTTCTGGTTCTTTCCCCACTACAGATCCCACCAAAGTCACCTGGATCCTTCTCCTTCTTGCAGGCAGAGGGCATTATCTAGTGAAAGTGCAGCTTCTTGGGCCTCCCCGGTAGCGCAGCAGTTGAGTGTTGGGTTGCGAAGCTGCCTGCGGCCTCTGCGGCGCCATTTCAATCCCCGGCTGCTCCCCGGCCACCGGAGGAGGAGGGTCCCACATGGCGTGCAGACTTCTCCTGCCGCCCGCTGCTCCCCTCAGCAGTGTACTTTGGTCCTTCTGCCTGCTCTGCTCCCTGCTCTGGCTCTGGTGAATTCTCTCACCCTCCCGCGCTTCTGACTGTACCCAGTGCATGTATAAACAAAACAAACAAACAAACAAATAAATAAATAAAACATGCCTCTATTAAAAAAAAAAAAAAAAAAAGAAAGTGCAGCTTCTTAACAGAACTGTAAAATGGATGCTGGGGTCGGGGGAAGGGCTTGTTGAAATGTGTTCTGTAGAACTGGATCCCTGGTTACAACTTTCATCAATCTGAACTCTGCACCCTCGCTCACCATTCATTAGCTCACTTGCCTGGCTTGGCCTCAATTTGCTGGGAGTTTGGGGATGTTGGTGAGGGGTAGTGGGAGGTGTGCTAGTGATTCAAGACAGCACTCACTTTCTCTTTGCTCAGATCCATCCTCCTGCTGTTGAAATAAAGCACATTTTCCTCCCTAGCCAGAGTCTCAGACCTCATCAAATCAGAGGGACAAGGCAGAGTCGCTCAAAAAATGGACTCTTAGATGATTGTGTTCTTTTTCCAGCAAGAAAATACAACAGCCAGCAGATACTGGATATTGTGTTGATATTGAGAATACTCCGTCTCCTAAGGGTCATCGTCAGTATTGAGAGGTGAAGGTGGAGGACGGGCAATGGCCTCACTTGAGTGGTCTCTCACATCCGGGTTTGGTGGAAACCATTCCTGTCTCAGAAATGCAAACACGCCCTTCTGTGAACCCTGAATGTCGCTTGTGTAGTCGATCTGGGCTTCTCTGGGGGTCTTGGGACTGGAGGGAAGCCCTGAAGATGGTGAAGAGCACTCAAATGGCTCTGGAAGCTTCCAGAGGGCACTTTCGTCTCCACGATGCAGTCCCAACCAGAGAATAGTGCTCATGATGGGAGTCCATATTAACCTGAGTGTGCTAACCATTGTCTTGTTAAATCCCTCCAACAATCTTTGACGGTAGGGGCTTTTATTATCCCTAGTTTACAGGTGATGGCAATGAAGCTCAGGGAGGTTAAGTAACTTCCCCAACAGTGCACAGCTTGAAAGAGGCAGAACTAGGATACACACTCAGGAGTCTGACCCCAAAGCTTGGAGAATCCCCACCCTGTTTTTTGATATATCAGATTTCTTTCAAGGAAAGTGGGGAGATGCTGCCATCTTAGGCCTGCTCCTCCAAAAAGTATCCATTGTCAACCTAAACCTCCCGGTCAGCGTTAAAGCAGGTTGAATTTTGATGGGGGGAAAAAAGTGGAGAAAGAAAGCAAATGAGGCTAACTAGTTTTTTAGCCTCAACTCCCACCTACGTCTTACTAGTAAAGTTTCTGTTGAGATTTCTTAAGTTTTTAAATACTGCCTTAGTGGGCTTCAGGAGAAACTACAAGTTAACTCCCCCACAGCCTGGTAGATGGAATGATTCTGACAAATTGTAAAGCAAATTTCCAAGAGCACTGAAAGAGAAGATCCAGGCTTGGGTGTGGGGGCTGGGGAAAACCTGCCAGGTGGGATCAGTGCAGGGCTCACGTCTCCCCTTTGGCCTTGCCTCAGGAACTATGCTTTATCCTAGATTCCGGGTTATCGTGACCACCTTAATTAACATCGGCCCCACAATGCTGACGTTCGGTGGGCTCATCTTGGTGAGTAGCTATTCTTGTTCCTCAGCAGTTCTCCTTTAGCCTTACTTTAAGGGATGTTAAGGAAATAAGATTCTCTGGTTTCCTCTAGCCATTTTTAGATATGTCAAATTTCTAGAAACATCGGGAATATATCATTGCCCTATAACAGTGCACTTACTGCTATGATAGGCATTAAAACCTCAGTGGGGTAAACTGACGCCTGTATGGGTATTTCTGGCTAGCACATGGTTCCCAGGGATATAGGTTCCTTTTGCCCTTCATTTGCCCCAAGCCTCACATCCTTTTTTTTTCTGCTCATGGAGTGTCTACCTGTGCCTTAAATGGTCAGAATGCAGCCACAGAAGGCTGCAGTGGGGCTGGGGCATCCTGCTCAGAGATGATTCCACTCTATGGACGCAGGAGCTCAAATGCAGATGCTCTGCTACAGGGTACTTACTTTTCTGTTAAAATGGTAAAAAAAAATTCAGTGAGTAGAGAAAAATGAAGAGTAGACTATAAGTCACCTGTTCCCATCCCCCATGTGCCTCTTTTCCAGAGGTAACCATTATTAAGGAGTTCTTGTTATTCTTCCTAAATATTTCTGTGCTGACAATAAGCATATCATATGCAGGTACACACACAGTTACTCAGTTACTGTCCATCAAATAGTATGATCCATTCAAACTGTTGCACAACTTGATTCTACCGAGTATCTTGTTGCATGTCCTTCAGCACACATGCATCTGTGAAAGCATCCATGGAAGTGTCCCATGAGGGACACATGTGGCCAGCCCTCTACTGGCACACTATGAGTAGTGTCACCTTTTTGCCATCACTAATGATTGTTGGAGACCACTCTGGCACATGTACCTCTGTGTGCTTCTGTGCATCTATGAGGCACATTCCTAGTAGTGGAGCTTCTAGGTCCAAGGCAAATGGATTTAAAATTTGGATCAATAGTGACTATTGCCTTCCAAAAGATGTGCTCCCTATGTATCCAAACAACAGTGGTTGGTAGTATCTGCACCCCTCATAAATGGGCTTCATAAAATGTTTTCACTTTTTTCAATCTGATGGGGACGGGGCGGACAGTGGTGCTATGTTTGGCTTACACTGCTCTCCATGAGACCAAGTATCTTCCATGTTCTTTTGGCCACTGATCCTTATTTTTTTTTCAAACAACCTGTTTATATCCTTAGCCTTTTTTATTCATTTTATTTTTTATGTGATTTGCAGGAGTGCTTTGCCTATTATGAGAATAAATCTTGGAAAATTGTATAAAGGGTAATTATTTTTCCTTGCCCATTGCTTGTTTTTCATTTTTTGGTTGTTTTGCTGTATTTTTTTTCTATATGAAATTTTAAATTATTTATGTAGTCATACTTATCAATATTTTATGGTTTCTAAATTTTACATCATGCATAGTGAGGCCTTTTTCTACTCGTTTTTTTTTTTTTTTTATGCTTGTTCCTTTCTGATTTTTTACGTTTAACCCTTTGGTAACTTTGGGATTTGTTCTGGTATAAAAAACAAGGTAAACCTCCAACTTCATTATTTTTTCCCCTAGAGGACAACTGAGGATTGAGCACCTAACCCACTAACTTGCCAGCAGCTTCATTTTTGACTTTGTGCAAGGAGCCAACGGGAGAGGTCAAGCCTATGTCCTCCTCCAGAGACAGCTCAGGCTTCCCTGCAGAGTGGCTGATCCTTACTGGGACCTTAGTGGGGACTCTTAGGGGGAACGGCAGCCATCCCCGAATGAGAACAGCCAGTCTTCCTGCTGGCCCTTCGCCCTGAGCTGACTGTTGTCCACAGTGCTCCCAGGTGTCCCACACTCTCCCTGTCCCCTGATTCTGTAGCTCCCTCTTTGTGCCCACTGACCATGTACCGCCCACCCTAGGTAGTCTACTACGCGTTTGCTATCATTGGGATGGAAGCCTTCCATGGCAAAATCCAGTTCTTGGAACCGAATTCCAATACCCCTGGTGCCCTGGTGTGCGGGAACCCAGCCCTAAAAGACTCAGTGTTCGCGCGAGACAGGTACTGCAAGAACAACTTCAATGACCTGGCTTCCTCCTTCATCGTGCTGATGGAGCTCACCGTGGTCAACCAGTGGCACGATATCCTTTCTGAAAGTGCTGACACTCCCTGCACAGCACAGGGGGATGCTGAATGTAGAATTCCCGGAGGAGGGGAGGAGGAGTCCATCTTGGTGGCACTGAGTTCAGGACATTGCCCTATTCTGGAAGGTTGCTTCCTTAGCTTTGTACTCCTGGCAAGTGGCTTTGCCCTCGTGACTCACCAGGCAGCCAAGCTGTACTTCATTGGGTTCCACATCGTGGTGGTCATCCTCATCGTCAAGTGAGTTAACTCCCCCACACTGGCAATTCCAGATCTCTCTCAGGATGCATAACTGGTTGCTGGTCCCTCATGCCCATGGTGGCTAGGCGGCATCTCCCTGCCAGGTGCTAGGGTGCAGGGAGGAAGGACGTTGGTGTGCGTCTGTGTCTGCCAGCACCTTGCCATCCGTGGATAATGCACTCTTGTGAGTTGCTGGGTCAGAAGGATTCTGGGTCCCAGCCCAATCCCCGGACCCTTCCCCACCAGGATGGAATTCCCTTTAGAACACCTCTGTGACAATGCCTTCACCCTCTCCTTGAATCTGTTCAATTGCCAGGATGCAGGGCCTAAGGGTCAGCTCCCTTGTGAGGGAGATACACTCCCCAGTAAGTTCTCTTCCCTGGCCCGAGTTCTGTCCTGACCCCTCTTCCCTGGGAAAGCTCCATTACTATTTGGAAGATGCTCTGACATCTAACTGCTCCAAAGAGCTCTCCTTCCAGCCTAAGAATCTCCATTTTAACTCGCTGGTTCCTCATAGGAGCTGAATTTGACTCCCCTCTGGCGTCCTTAGAGGTGTTTCTCTGGTTGTCATACTTCTTCCAGAGCCAGGGGCCTGCATTCTGAGGGTGCCAGCTCAGCCCTTGTGCCTTCATTACCACATGCTTTGGCACCCCACCGTACTGCTGATTTTGACTCCGGAATGTCCAGTAGAGGTAGGGGGAGAGGAAGCCCCGTGGGTGCTCTGACTGGGCTGTCTCTCTTGACCTGCATGGAAGACCTATGGGAGCAAGGTAGAGATGCCACGGAGAGGTGGGGCAGGCAAAGGCGGCACCATGAAAGGCTGCAGGGATGTTTCTGCTCCTCCCCTCTCCAGAGCATGTGGGTGTTTGACAGCGCTGGGCTCCATCTTCAACTGTTAAGTCAGAGATGGTGAAGGGGCCAAGAGTCACCCCCTCCAGCAAGCTCACGCCTTAGCCTAAAAGCATAGGCCCTGGATAGGCCCCGACAGAAAGCACCTTGCCTGGGCACAGAGACCAAGATCACTATGACTCCAGGCAAAGGCTGCAGCTGCTAATAGTGCTAGTGTCTATTCCTGCCCCTGAGCAGTGAGGTGGGGGCCAGCTGAGGCCTTACATGAGGGGAACTCCTGGGACCAGTCCATTCTCCCCTCTGCAGAGGGAGAAGAGAGAGACATTGTTCTACTCTGGAAGGTAAGCAGATCTCTGGAAGGGCAAAGGAGGTCTCTACCTTTGCTGCCCTGGGCTGTTGGGAGGCAGGCAGCAATAAGCTTTACTGTCCCAGAGGATCGCCTAGACAGTCATTCCTAAATTGACTCTGATGCCTTTGCTCAGAGGAACCTGGCTGTGCAGAAACCTGATCCTTGGAGAATCATCTTCCAACAAACATATAGCCTAAGCTTAAATGAACTGTATTTTCTTTTTAATAGTCACTGCCCAATAAGGCTATAAAGGAAGAATGATTTTCCAAATGACTGCAAGTTGCGTCTAATCCTTGAGAGACGCTTGGCTTGTCTGTCTCTTCTCCCCTCTGTGCTGCATTCTCTTTGAGACAACAGGCTGCTTTCTTTTGGGGCCTGGAGCTCATTGGACTTCCTGTCACCTGGGCCACAACTGACTCACCTACTCTGACCTCTTGCTCTCTCAGTATCTTCATAGCGTTCATCTTGGAGGCATTTTTTGTGGCATATTCATTAGAAAAAAGTGAAATAGAGACTGCTATTGAGAAGAAGATCCAGGAGCTTGGTGTGGGGATCCAAGAGTGAGTATATCATGTTGCCCCTGACATCACTCAAGACATTTTGCGCTGGAAGTCACACCAAGGCCCCGGTCGCTTTTAATCTCTAAGTGCCCAGTGCTGCAGCCGGGTCCTGTGTGCCGGATCCTGCGTGCCGCTTCTCAGAGGCCCCCAAGAGCCCTGGGTGTGCCTGGGCATGACACAGGGCATGTGTACCCTTGTGCCTGTGTTCATCTTGCCTCTTCCTCCTCGAAGGGAAAAAGAGCAGGACTGGAAGCTCATTGATGACATGGACCCCAAGAACACTGTCTTTAGTGGGGATGATGGAGACAACAAAAGGAAGTCCTCGAAAGGATTGTACTTCAGAATTGCTTCAAAAAGTGAGTTTTAATCAAACATAAAACTTCCTCCAAGCCAACCTCCTCACTGCAGCCAGTGAGGTGCTTCCAGAATGCAGAACTCACCTACAGGGGCTTCCCATTGCCAAGGATAAGGACCAGGCTCTCTGCCTGGCCTCCACACCCTCATGCCTGGTTTTTCTCTGTCTCAGCCTCTCTTCCTTCCCACCACAGTCACCATGCCTGTGTACTCCAGCCCTCTGCCTTTCAATGCCTCTGCTCTGCTGCTCCTTCTTGTCTGCCACAGGGCCTTTGCACATGCTGCTTTCACCCCTTGGCTCACTCTCATCCCTGCTTGTGTAATTAAGAGCACCTCACCCTTCACACCTCCACTTAGGCAGCATTTCAAGAAAGCCCCATGGTACCCACAAGAAGGCCAGGTGCTCCTGTGTATCATCCAGCTCTCCTTCTCCTCCCTTTAGTGCATGCTACTTGCATATTCATTGAGTGACTGCTGGTTGCCATCTCTTTTTTTTGAAGTCTGGAAAGGAAGCTCCAGGTGTGCAGTCATGCTGTTTTTTTTTTTTTTTCCTTTGTTGTATCCCTAGGACCTAACAAAATACCTGGACCTGGGTGTCCTTAACAACTATCTGTTTAATTACCTTAATAATTTTTATTGAATTAATAATTGGTGGAGCACACCTAAACCAGTCTCTGTTGGCACTTTGGCTGAAGTGCCCTATGATAAACTTTCAGAAATACAACACAGACCATAGAAGCAGGGTGTGCAGCCCTACAAGGTATGCAGCCTCCTCTAGCCTTAGGGAGAACTTTCTCCTAGTTCTCCAAGTCTTCAGTGGCTGGGGAGCTCAGTGGAATCAGCACCAAGAGAGATCAGTGCCTCTTTCCTGACTTTTTCATCTTCCAACAAGTGTCTGGCTGCCATGCTCAGAGGCCACCCTTCAGGAATACCTATCTCTGCCCACATGGGTGACCCCCACACACACACACCCCAGCACAGACAGGTCCGTGTACCTCTTTTCCTTCCTCCTAGAGTACAGGACTGTGGACGCCTTGCTGCAGCGCATGTTTGAGTCTGAAATTGCTCCAGACGATGAAGGCCCCTCCTTGGATGAGATTCTGAACTTCTCACCCAGTGACATCTATCCCAAGAAACTCAATTTTGAGAACAGTGCGTGACACAGGGCCCAGGAAGGCCACAACTAGGAATTCAGCATGTGGTTCCTAGCCCTTATCTCCCATAGACTGACAAGCCTGTGAACCCAATGGGGTCCTGAGGGGTCAGCTGGAAGGCATCAGGGGCTGCTTCTGTGTGCCCCGCCTGCCCTCTTCAGGCCTGATGGTGGCAGTGAGGCCAGGGTCACGTGAAGCCGCGTGAGGAGCACCTGTCACACACCTTGTGCACGTGTGCAGTGTGTTCCATGGGCATATACAAGCTTTTCATTTATTTTTCTGTGGTATTTTGTTATTCTATGAGAGTACTGTCCTTCAGTGTTCATGAATGAATTTTTACTATTTAAATACCATAAAGGAATACTCTAGTGAGTCACTTTTCAATGCAGTGCTTATTCCAAATGAAGAAAAATATGAATGTGAAAATAAAAATCTGTCTCAAATACTTCTTCCTGGGGAAGCTCTCAAATCTCCTTTAATTAAATTATAATTATAGCAAGATTTTGCGTAAGTTGTTCTCTGAGGTCACATTTCCGAGGCGGAAATCTCCCAGGACAGTGACATGCTCCTTCTGGGAAATTAAAAGGAACTTATTTATTTAAAAAATGTTTGTGGTCAGATACACATAACATAAAATGTACCATCTTATCCAGTTCAGTGGTGTGTGTATGTTTACATTCTGTGAGATTTCCAGAACTTTATCACCTCAAATGAAACTGTGTAATCATTAAACGAGGATGCTCCAGTCTCTCCTCCCGCTCCAGTCCCTGGTAACCACCATTCTATTTTCTTTCAATGTGACTCTTCTCAAATGCATTTGCATTTGGTCATATTAATCCTTTCCAGAACAGTCAGCTTATGACCCCAGCCCCACCATCAGGCAGGGGAATTGCCAGAAATGTCTGTCTCCATGACCCGAGGTCCCTGTGTCTGATATCATGGGGGGGTGGGGTGGGGTTATGGTCAGGTTGCTAACTGAAGCTGGCTTGGAAGGGCTTCTCCTTAGATCTGAGGATGACTTCTGGGCCATGTGATGAGGGAAAAAAGTCAATGCTTGGGAGCCCTATGGACTCCAGGGCCAGACATGTATCCCCATGGACCATGTCACTTAACCCCATTGTTCCTCATTTCCTCACCTGGAAACTTGGGGCAAGTGGCATCTCCTGCCCACAACTGGGAGGACTGATAAGAGGGCTAGGCTGGGTAGGATGCTGGCTTGCAGCTGTCTCAGCATTTGCTCTCATGCTAGCTGTTCTGGCTTTAAAACCACTCTGGTGTTTGGCATTGGTGCTTTAGAATCCCGTCACCCTGATTCTGGGAGGTGGGGTTCTTGCTGATCCATCTGATGGGGTTTTTAGAGTCCTGCCATCCTTCCATACTCCTATTTCTTTGTATATCTAACACATCATTATGTAAGTATTACACTAAATGTATAGAGTTGCAACTTAATTTATGCCATTTATATTTGCACAACATACTGGACTTTATTTTTTTAATTAGAAAATAATGTAGTCATTGTAAAAATAATCAATACTGAAATATAATAAAAAGTCAAAAGTACTCTTTGTTTATTCTTCTTTCTCTTCATCCCTTCTTTACCAATTGTTTCCGGTTGATATACACCAAAGCTGCCAGGGCTCCATCCCATCTACCTTTCATGACTTAAGAATTCATCTATTCATGGACATTTATGGTTCTAGAGGTTTAACAATAAGCAGTAATGGTGTACACCTAGTTATGTGGTGTGTCTGTGTGAGCCCTTCCTCAAAGGAAAGCCTCCAAGTCACACTTACTGGGTCCAATTTCTTTTTTTTTTCTTTAAAATATTTACTTACTTATACAAAAGCTGGTGTACAGGCCAGAGGTGCAGGAGGCTGAGAGAATTCACCAGAGACAGCAGGGACCAGAAAAGGCAGATGGACCGAAAACACTGCTGAGGGGAGCAGCGGGCAAGACAGGAGGGGTCTGCCGCGCCATGTGGGTATCTCCCTGGCCGGCCAGGAATCCAACCTGCACTTCATAGGAGGCTGCTGACAGCTTCACAGAAGTGTGCTCAACCCGCTGTGCCACCGGAGAGGCTCTTACTGGGTCCAATTTCTATTGAGACTTCGGTCTCTTACTTGTGGCCGCCAGGGGGCGCACTACCCCAGCGGCCGCCGTGCTCAGCCTCGGAGGGATGAGCATTAACCTCGCTGGTGGCAAGGCCTTGTTTTGCTTTTCAGCGAACCAGTCACCTTCACCTTAAGGTCTAAATCTGAATATGGGCTCCTTGCTGGTCGCTTGGTTCCTTAGTCTTGCTGGCGGGGTCTGAGCCATATGGTCGCATCTGGCTCGTGAGCTGACCACAACTGGGGTCTGTGCCTCTCAGGGCTGGGGAAACAAACTCGCTCTGCCTTCATTCTGGAGGGCTGGGAAAAGGCAACAGCCGGAACAACTTGCAAGCCAGAATTCTGTGCCACTTTGTGGCAGAGTGGGTGCCAGCGTGAGGTCACTTGATCAAGATCTTGAAATGTCCTTTCTCTCAGCTACTGTGGATTCTCTGCCACAGCAGCTTAGTCTGCTCATAGCCACATCAATCCCCGAATAGGTTGTCTGAAATAGTTGGGAATGGAATCAACAGGGCAGATGAGGGAACAAGAACAGCAAGGATGGTGACCCCGAAGATCCGAGGTAGAGAAACTTGTAGAGGAATCAACATAGCTTTTCCCGTGTATTTATATAGTGCCAATGCCAGCTATGTAGGCACTCTTATTTCTGACAGGCATGGGTCACACTTGTAGTTTCTTAGGTGTTTCAGGGAAAAATTAACTTTAGCATCGTTGCTTTAGACCAGATATATAATCCAAGGAGAAAGTTGCTGGTAACAAGCAACTCTGAATCTCCTGCATAACTAGACTTTAGCTGTTAGGATTCAGAAAATGGAGCAGGAATTAAGAATGAGTGGGGGCCTCCCTGGTGGCTCAGGGGTTAAAATCAGTGCTATCAAGTTATCACCAGTTACTGCAGCCTGAATCTGATCCGACCAGGGAGCTGACCCACATGGCACAGCAGGCCTCTCCTGACTTGCCCGCTGCTCCCCTCAGCAGCGTATTTCAGTAGATCTGCCTGTTCTGCTCCCCACCCTATCTCTGGTGAATCCTCTCACCCCCATACCTCTGGCCTACACCCCAGTTCTTGTATGCATAAATAAAAATAAATCTTTTAAAAAAAATGAGTGGGAGAAGCCTCCATCTGAGACAGACATTAAATCTGAACCTAGACTGAGTCTAGCTAATGTTTGTGCACTTAGTGCCCCTACTCAGCTCTTTAAGAGACACTGATAAGACCCAGTTCTGTCCTCAGGAAAACAAGTCCATTTAGTGGAGTGAGCTGGAAGTTTATCCTCCCAACTTCTGTTGAATCCATTCCAGTTGGCGATTAGGAGGCAGAGCTTTTTCCCCTTGTGTAGATAAACTCTGTGTTGAGTGTGGGGACACATTTAGCCAAAGAGCACTGTTAGTCTTGGTCTCCTTGGAAAATGATTATTTTCAAAAGGAAAAAAAAAAATCCCACAAACTGGCTTTCCTTGTCAAGTGCCCAGTTTACGACACTCTGGGTACATTTAAGGTTGGTTCTGTCCTGGGTTATTTTTCTGTCCTCAGCCCTAACAGCTGAGTATGTTTGTAATCAAACACGGAGTTTCCTTTATTTTCAAAGTGAAAACATTTTGGAGCTTATTACAAATATGCACACATATTTGCTCCCACCCTCATTTTTTGTTGTTGCAATAAAACTGCAAAACCAATTAAGGTGATTGTTTAAAGAAATAATGGCACATTCATCTAGGGGAATGATGGAAACCAATATAGATGGAAAAATGAGCAAATAACTATAAAAGTATGTTGTAGTCCCCATTTATTTCTTCAAGAAAACTGATGGCTACTTCAACATGCCTTAGAGTGCCTATCTTGGGCCTCCCCTGGTGGTGCAGGCAGTTGAGCGCTGCCCTGTGAAGCTACCCACAGCCTCTGCAGCACTGGTTCGATCCCCTGATCACTGGCCGCCTGCGAGGGTCCCACTTGGCACGGCAGATCTCTCCTGTCGCGCCCGCTGCTCCCCTCAGCAGTGTATTTCATCAGTCTGCCTGTTCTGTTCTCCGCTCTGTCTCTGGTGAATCCTTTCACCCTCCTGTGCATCTGGCCTGTACCCCGGTTCTTGTATAAATAAATCTTTAAAAAAAATAAATGAAGTGCCTATCTTGGCCCGTGTCACTGAGCTGCAGGATAAACATCAGCAGAGCCCCCACTGAAGCAAAATACAACGCCCAGCACCACTGCTGCTCAGTGCTCTTCTCAAAGTCTCAGGCAAGTGAAAAGTCACCAGCAAAAAATTGGGACAGAATAAGCATTATAGTGGTTCTTATCTTGGAAACTTTCAAAGAATCTACTGAAAAACTTTTCATAGAAATCAGTAGACTTCATATATTAAAACTACCAGCTAGAAACACATGAAATCTGACTTAAAATTAGCAACCAAAGTTGAGTCCTAAGTATTTATTTATTTAAAATATTTATTTATTTATTTATACAAGCACTGGGTACAGTCAGAAGCGCAGGAGGGTGAGATAATTCACCAGAGCCAGAGCAGGAACAGAACAGGCAGACTGACGAAATACACTGCTGAGGGGAGCAGTGGACATGGCAGGAGAGGTCTGCGTGCCATGTGGGACTCTCGCCAGTGGCCGGGGATTGAACCAGCACTGCAGAGGCTGTGGGCAGCTTCGCAGCCCAGGGCTCAACCGGGGACATCCGAGTCCTAAGTATTTAAATGAGCTTGAATACTTAAAAAAACAGAGGACTTCTTCCTTATCTCTCAATTGAGAATGGCATTTTAGGACAAAAAAATTTTTAACTTTATAAACCAGAGTACAAGACAAAATCTAAAAGTTCTTATACCACAGAAATCTTCAGAAATTGAGACAGATCACAAATTGGGACAAACATTTGTGCCTTATATACAGAGGACTCCCAGAAATTAAGCTGAAAAAGAACAATTATAAAGTGGACAAAGAAATGAGGCTCACAGAAAAAGAAGAAAAATGCATAGTTCTTCAATATATTAATATATTTGGCCTAATCCAGAGAATGCTAATGAAGACCATGAGGAGGTAAGTTTTTCACCTGTCCCAGTGGCAAGGCCCATGCAGCCCTGACTGAGTGAGGTGTGGGGAACAGATGGTGCATCTGGGCACAGTCCCTAAGGCTATTTGCAAATGTTGATAGACTTTTAGATGTTCTCACTTTGACCCAACAATTTTACTTCTAGAATTTACACTATAGATATATCATAAAATGAAGTATTAGTCATTAACAAAAACTAGACTAGTCTATATGTAGTTATACTTGCCACTAAGTGAATAAAACAAACCAAAATCATGCTAGTTTCATCAAAAATATATAGCAATATGCCTGGATAGAATAAAAAAGGTGGTCGTGCTTGCTTTGGGATGGGGACGAAGGCTGGTGGAAGAAGCAACTCCCTCTGTATTCTGGAATTAAGTGTCACATATGTGTTTTCATGTTAATGCTGAGAAAGGAGGCGGGAGGGAAGACAGAGTGGATGGGCAGTACATGTTAGAGTATCTTTCAGCTTAAAAAAAAAACAATAAATGCTAAATTGGCTATTATAATTTGAGCAAATTAATCATCTATACAGCTTATAAGACTATTTTCAAGACCTAAGATTTTCCTTTGAATGGTACTTTCAAAAAAACAAAGTGGATTATGATTTAGACCTGTAATATTTTCCATGGATAGCAATGAAAAACAGATACGATAAAGGACAAACAAATTTTATTCATAAAAACTTGAAGTCCCTTGGACATATTTGGAGAGTTTCACTAATTTTATACAAACACAAACCCTGAAATTTGTGGGGGCGGGGGGAAAGGTTGGTCTTGGTTAAAACATACAGGCCAGTGTTTAAAAAGTGATTTTAGAGCATGTTCACATACAAATTATTCTGATGAATGCTTGTATCCCAAGAGCAGACGAACTAGCCTGCTACATAGGAAGCTAATCAGAGTATCTATTTTGTTGAAATATTTACAACTAAGCAACATGGATATATTTTGTGGACTTTGTTTTTAAGAAACATTTAAATAAACCATAAGCGTGGAAATATCCAAGTTCAAAGTGATCAGGGGAACATTTACAAAATGATTTTTAGAGAATCCATATTCTATTTTCGAGAACGCTTATATTCTAAGAGCAGTACAATTAGCCTATTACGTAGGGTCCTAATCTTGTTTGTATAGTGTTGCTGAAATGTTTCCTTCAGCTTTTGCCTTAACAAACCCAAAGAGGGAAGATGATCACAATCTGGTATATTCAACATGATGTGAAAAAACTCATTCCACATATCCAGATGAGGAAGCCTGAAGAGACAAAGCATAGGTAAAGGATAAAGGTAGCATTCGACATGAAGGGCAACTCCACTCTGTATCTGACTTCTTTAGACTTGGGCAATTGAATATATAACTTTCACTTAGATGCAGCTTAATCCATCAAAAATAGACGCGTTGAACTTATTATAAATAAGAGA